TATTAAATAAATCTATTTTAATATTATCATTTTTTATCTAATATCAATTAAGTATAGATTTAAGGTTATTAAATAAAAAATATTTTTAAAAGTTTATATTTTTATTTTTAAAAAAATAAATTTTTTAAGTGTATTTAATAAAATTTATTATTATGTGAGATTTTATTTAAAAATATTTATAATTTAAGATAAAAGAGTATTATTTTAGAATTTGATTTATAATAATTGTTTGAAAAAAATGTGGAATAAGGCAAGGTGAAGACCAAGAAAGTCAATATTTGATGGTTAAACGCTAAGCTATAAATAAAAAGACTCAAATATTAATAGTTATAATTAAAAATGTTAAATTTATAGTGCAATTTGTGAAATTTTTAAATGACACTTAGATTTTTTTTTTTAGAAAGATCAATCTCATAGTTGTTAGCTATGGGAATACCTTAAAAAAACAAAAAAGTCAATATTGTTTTGGTTAAACCAAATATAATTATAGTTTATTTTTTGATACAAAAAAGTACCACAGATTAGCATCAGTATAATAAATTATTGCATACATATAAAGCGTTGTATCGTTATTTTTGTAAATATTGTTTGCATATATTTTATTTTTAAAAAATAATATAGAAATTAATTTCAAATGATTATAAAATGGTTTAATTTATTTGAATTCCCCTGAAATTTAAACTTGCACTCTTTAATCAGGGGAATGCCAATCATGAGTGGATTTTATAATAATAATAATAATAATAAATAATAATAATAATAATAAATAAATAAATAAATAAATAAATAAAAGGGAGGTTGATATGAGTGAAGAGTAAGCATGATTGGGATTGGCACAAGAGGATAAACATAGAGGGGTGGGTCACTTGGCTTGGCACTTTCTTATACACTTAGAGCCCACTCTTCCTCAATATTCCATGTCTTCCCCATGGACTTAAACAATTCAAGCCCAACTTTTGCAGGTCATAACATGTGTGTCTATATGCGTGTGTGTGTGTGTTTGGGTTACACCTTGTTGATTTTTATTTTCTGTGATCAAACAAAGTTATTAACGCTGTGATGGGACTAAACTATGTCTGCAAATTATGCACATCCTTTTTAGACTGAGACTTGATCTACACTTTTTGGAAGGAAAAGATTGGCCTTTATTAGTTGAGTTGAGGCAGAAGGATGACTATCTTGATTAAAAAAAAAAAAAAAAACACACACACACAGAGTCCAGGTTTAATTTCAAGCATCATATTTCCATTTTTATAAATTATTGTATAGAAATTACATCAAGAAAAAAATATTGTATAAAAATAAGGCCAAAGGCAAAGTATGCTTTCTTGAAAATTAATAGAATTAAACTCACAACCTTCCATGCAGGAATGAATGGCAGAGCCACATTGGGGTAAGGGTATAAATAAACCCCTCTCACTTTGAGAAAAATTTAAATTCAGTATATAAGTTTTAGTATTTTACATTTATACTCTAAAATTTTGAACTATTTATTTTAGATTTTACTATTTTGCACCTCTTGCCATTGAGTTTTAAAATTTTACACCCCTTTACTTATGGGTCCTACCTTTGCCATTGGTAATGAGCCTAATGTTATTAGACTGCAAGGTCATATAGGTGCAGGCTGCTCCCTCTGCAGAATCAAACTTGAAAAAATGTGAATAGATTGGTCCAAGCTAGCTAGGTTGTAATCGAGTATGCTATGATAGAGATGGAAATATAAAATTTGATTGAAATGGAAGAGAGGGCCAAATAATTGAGTAGGGGAAGAAGAGGATAAAAAGATTGCATGAAAAGAAAAGAAAGGGAAAGTGGGAAATGCATTGATTGAAGAGAGTAATGAATGAATTTGAGAGGAAGCTAAGGGTACAACATGTGAGGATTGTCCCTCTTCCATGTGCCTTCAATTACTTATAATTGCTTAGCTTCTCCTTCACACACATTCATCCCTTCTAGTTTTTCTCCCCGTAGAAGGACCTACATTTTCTCATTCTCTCCCCTACACACTTTTCTTTTCTCCATATATGCAGCAATCAATTCGATTTATTTTATTCACACAATTATTTTGATCTCTTCAAAGTTTGTGTACTTTTTCATGAAATAATATACATACCAATGTGAGTTGCCACAAATGGTTAAAGTGATTTTAGGACTAGACAAGGATTCAAAACTCACTCATGGGTGTGGGGTTTAAATTTTTTTAAAATGATCCTAAGTCTTACTTGGTAGGTCTATCTTATTAGAATGATCTCTTAATGTTTAAAAGATGCAAGTTGCATTATTGTAATTTGAATTAAATTGAGGGTAACCAATAAATGTGTCTAATTAATAATAATTTGATCTATAATTTACAAATTCATGAGATCAAATTTTACTACAAATGTAAAGACCTTATTGGTGGATGATTTTTAAATGTTTTTTGAGTTTAGAAACATACCTTGACCTTAATGAGTTTTTAAGATTCAACTCACATAATTTTTTTCTCTATCAAAAAAATAATTAAATCAAGGTCGTCTCCTCTTCATATAATGGGTTTGGATTCAAATTTTTTAAGATCATAAAAAGTCTTGCTCTATGAAATTCTTTATCATGAAGATATTTTTTTTGCATTGAACATCTGATATTCTATGCTTACCTCACATTGAGAAGAGGGGACTCTAATAAAGCTAGACTAATCTAAATTGAGTCAGGTCAAGACTCTTTTAAATAAAAACTCTACCACTAGCGTCATTGTATTCTCATTAAAGAGATTCTTTGACTAGATAGGTTAAGTAGCTACAATTTGAATAAAACAACTTACTATTTATTTTTGCAATAATCAATTGAGGATCGTCTTTTAATATATAAAGTGATAGTGATAAACCCTATTTCTATAAAGTACACGTACGCAGAAGTGAAATTCACTCATTTCTCGCATATTTCTTGTTGCTTATCGTGAATCTATAAAGTATTCATGTTATGTCTTGCACTAATACTTCATATAGTGAGAAAACCAGTTATCATTATATTTATTTTAACAAAAATATATTTAATTCTATTTCTTCGTATAACAGAATATCATCATCATCATCATCATCATTATAAATCTATGACCTGTGTTGCTTGTTTTAGACTTTGTGCAAAACATATGCTTATAAATTCATAGAATCCATTAATTTTTATAATTGAAGACCGCGCCTTAAATTTATAGAAAAATAAAATATTACTTCATATTTTTATTTATTTTTTAGCGTTTTTAGGTTCAAAAAGTTTTTTAAATTTGACAATCAAGATAAATAGCTAGGAACCCCCAAGCTAGAAAGAGGTAAAGTTCAGATGTTAGTTCCTTTTTGGGCTTCTACGTGGAGAGAGTCCCATGAAGCCCATTGTAGCCCAAAGTCTACAAATTAGATTACTGATCCAACTAAAAAATCTTGTCCGTTTACCAAAAATGAGTCAAGTCCATGTAACAATATCACCCATCATCATCAATATCACTATATATTCTTACCAAAAAAAGGAAATATCATTATATCTTAGCATATCCATGATTTTCCCGAAATTTTTACACTGTAATTAATTATTGATGCTAAAAATTTTTATTTTTTAAAAAAATTTAAAACCACTTATTATAACTTGATTGAAAAAAAAATATAAATTTGGCCAGTGTATGTAAGTATATATCTATAAAAAGTACATCAAATATAAAAGTTTAAATGCCTACTTTTTCCCTTTTCATTTTGGTAACACAAGATTTTAGAGATTTGTGTGCATATACCAATAGGCATGGAAATGATATTGAAAGCCTATTTTTTTTAATTATTGTTCGGAATAGTGGCTATCATAATATTATTTCTCTTTGGAGTAGTTATTATTTGTTATATTATCGCTCAGCATTTTGAAAAATTTAAAAGTATTATCACCTCTCATCCAAATAAATTTAAACCCTTTATACAAGAGACTATTATTATTAACGATGACTTTATGAATATTTTAAAAATATCTGTAATATATTTATTTAATATGACTGTATTCTTAGACTTAGATCCGACATATCAGGAATAGCTGATATAGCTCTTTTGACCAATTGAAGCAAGTGGCATTGTTGGACGGACAATTTAAAAGCAGTAAAACGAAATTCCTTTGTTATAAATTATAATTATATATGTTGCTCTTGTAGGTCAAAATTTCACAATCGCTTCCAGACACTGAACATTTCAATGTTGATAACTATACTTCATTGTTATTAGTATGTCAGGACCCCAAGTCAGGAGGTTTGAAATAATTAATAAAAAATTAATATTTTTTTAAAAAATAATAATTATATTAGGACTAAAATATATAATAACATAAATAGTTTTATCATTATTTTTATTTTTTAAAAAATAATATTGAACAAATTGATATGATTTTTTATTATAAATATGCTCTTCATATCTCATATAGATTATTGAAATATTATATATTTAATAAGTTTTTTAACCTAAATATTTTTTATTTAATTTAAAGGGTGCAAAATATCAAGAGTATGGAATAAAGTTATAAATTTTACATACCATTTATAATTTTCTCAAAGTGACCCCCTCAACTCAACATGACTCCACCATTGCTCTAGTCTCGTATATAAATTGCATTCTAGAAAAATTTATGGTTTTAAATATAAGTCACTTTCCAAGAGTTTGTGTAGTATTAATTATTTTATATCAAATATGCCTTTTTCCAATGAAATGATAAAAGTGTTTATTTTTTAAATTCATAGTATTCATTAGAAATAAAATATAAACAAAGCATTTTTAGGCAATTTCATTGACGTAACTAATTTTTTTTAGTTCATGTGGATTAGTTACAAGTGGGATGAAATATATAAGAAGTTTCATTTTTGAACTTTGAAGATATATACTATACTAGTGTGAATTTGGTGGAAGAAGAGTGAGATTTCGACCAAAAGGGAAAAAACCTCATCAATATTTAGTATATTATATTGCATAATATTGCTTTGTTATAACATGTTGTACATATTATTTTGCACATATATACACATATATAAATATAAATATAAGATTATGGTGTGTGTATTCATATTTATAAATTAATTTAGTGTTTGTCATGTGGATGGTTGTGAAGGAATTTTTTGAACCAGTGAGCAGACTTCTTGGGGGTCCTTTTGCGGGATTCATCTTCAAAGTCAACATGAACCATTCCGAAACGAACACTGTATCCATCCGACCATTCAAAGTTGTCCAATAATGCCCATTCAAAATATCCCTTCACGTTTACCCCATCCCTGCATTCATTCATATGTAGGAATATTTATAAATATTTATGAATTTATATTAATTAATTAATTCACATATATTAATCTTTATGATCTTATGTAAATCGTGATAGATGAACCACATGAGTAAGCCCAATAAATAGAGACCCAATTTACAATTCTATAACCACCAATTTTCTATCTCTTACTTGACTAGGTCAAGACTCAAAGATAATGTGAGACAATTAATTCATAATTTATTAAAACAGTTTGCTGATTTGGTCCATACAAGCTTATCAGTCGATGACCAAAATACAATACTTTTTCCACTTTCTTCATTATCTCTGAACTCTCTGTGAACTATAGAAATTTAGTGGTTTGTGTATTTGCCTATACTCGAAATAACTGAGGTGCCATAAATCCACAATTAGGCATGGATTCTTTAAACATGCACATCACTTTACTTGAATCTTATTTGATTTATATGAATTGAGATACTAAAGTTAATATTATATTCACATTATATACACACACCTAATTAATTTTTAGATAGAAGAGAAAATTTGCTCATATAAACTAAAAATTTAGAAAGGTCTAAAATTTTAAACTCATATTTTGCATAATATTTTTTTTAACTATTAAAAATAGTATAATTTAATTTCTATCGTTAACAAAAATTAACTTTGATTGTTAATTAACTAGAAAATGATATACAATAACATCAAAAATTACCCAAACAAAAAACAAAAAAATTATAGTAAAGGTCTAAAAAATACAGACAATCACTTTTAAAAAAATTAAATAAAATGATTAAGAAAATTTTATTGATTATTTTCTATAATTTTTGAAATTATTTTTTTATCAACTAATGGTCAAAGTTAGCTTTTATTTACATTAGGGACCAAATTATATTATTTTCAAAATTTAAAGGGAGAGATTATATGAAAAATGAGTTTAAGATTCTAGACGTTCCTTAACCTATGTTTTGGGGACGGATTCTACTTTTTCATTCTTAAGTTTTAAAAATATAATAATCAAACATGCTCATTTAAATGGCTAAATTATATATTTTAACTTCTCTCAAATTGCAAAGAACCCCCAAACTTTTTTACATTTAGGTAAATGACTATTCTATTGTTAATTTATCTATTATTTCACTGTGACAAGAGATTTACATGCACATGACAAAGTTTAGAAAAATGATCTACATGTAATTCAAAGTTAGAGAAGGGTTATTTGCATAAGAAATAAAAATTAACGGGATGTTTGGTGAAATAAAAATCACTCTTAGATTCCACGTAAGAAATCTAGATACAAAAAACTTTTATAATATCACAAAATTACTTTGAAGTTTCACATTCTTTATTGAAGTTGTTAATGACTACTGGATAATTGTTAATAGAGTTGTTTAATTGACAACTATTCAACAATAATTGACAATTTCAATAAATACCTTAGAATTTCAGAGTAATTTTGTGATTACACAGGAAATTTTTGTATTTAGATTACATGTGTGGGACTTAGTGAGATTTTTCCAATAAGTAATGTTAACTGGTTACTTATGATAAATTGAAAGTTTTAGGCGTTTTCTTTGCCAACTTTTAAAGATTGAAAGAGTTATTAATATATGAATTAAAATTCCAGGAAGTTTTGTATAATATAACTTTATTAATTAGTTCCATAATAAATTATATTGCAAGAAATAAACTTACTTTATGGCTCTGTGAACTTGAGCAAGATGACTCTTGATATAATTTATTCTCATGTGGTCATCAAGATCTACCTTACCTGTGTTAGCTTCATCAACTCCTGCAAATTTGATTCGTGATGAAATTAATAAAGAAAAATTAATTTTTTAAACCCAACCAAATAAGTAAAGCTACATTTTTAAAATTGTAATATTTGTATATCTCAGTGAAATTAAAATTAAATTACGTACCATTCTCTGTTATATAAATCACCGGATTGTTAAGCTTTTCCTTGGTATAGACCAGAAGCTCATGAAGTCCTTCAGGATATATGTATAGCCAACTTGAAGCTGCCTGTAAAATTTATCCTTTTTCAAATAAATTTCTTTTTGCCTTTAAATAAAATACTTATTAACAATTTGAAGCTCGGTATGTTCAGAGCCCTGCTTAATTTCTAATTTTGGAAACAATTTTTTATTTTAATTTTTTTCAAAAAACTTGAGTGGTTAGTTGTTTTAAAAATATCTATTTTTGAAAAATGTTTCGGCTTCTTATTTTTAAATACAAGAAAACATATAAATATCCTTTTTTCTCTTGTTTCTTGGAAGAAAAAAAGGCAAAAAAAATGCGTTCTTACTAATGATAAAAGTTGTAATTTTGATAACAATCAACATAGGGTAAGACGAAGCTATCTCGTCCTTTAAATTGTTTTTATTAATTAGCATTGCAAAACAAGCTTTTCTTTTAATTTATTCTGAAAAATAATTTTAAAAAATATATTACAGAACAATATTTAGAAAGGAAACAAAAAATGAGAACACAATCAAACATGTCCTAAATAATCTGAGTTTTTTTTTTTAATAATTAGGTGTATTTACCACTGGACCGATGGGGACTCCATTTTTCTCACCTGATAATCCAAAAAAAAAAGATGTTAAGTAAAGAAATTTATTGGTGAACATATATATTTAACTAATAACTAATAAATATGGAGGCTTAATTAATTAATTGGCTTACTTGTGACAGAAGCACAGGCATCAGAGAAAGCAGTGTGATTAACATTGGAGCAAGGAGTGTCAGCAGCATAACTAGAACTGTAATAGTTCAATCCAACGTAATCGTATGACCCTTTCACCATTTTTGATTCTTCCCCTGAAAATTTTGGCAATCTCTCCCCAACTCTCTTCACCATTTCTTCTGGGTATGATCCTGACTTCAGAGGCTCCAAATACCTTCATCATTCATTGTTTTTTTTAATGAATAATTAATTAATTAATTATATGATTAAGGGGCTAATTAAAACAACATTAACGAAATATTAATGAAGAATCAAACCTACCAGTCATATGTGAAAGCAAGGGCCCTTGATGCTGCATCTTTGTCTGCCTTAGAATCTGATATTGGAACTTGCCATCCACTGTTCAGCACTATTCCAATCTTTCCCTTTTGTGAACCCTACAAATTAAATTGCAATGTAATATGAATGATATACCACATTTTTTAGATTTTGTGCAATGCACAGAGTTAGAAGACTTGCTTTTATATATATATGCTATGGATTATATCAAATTGAAAGTCCTTTTTTAAAAAATAAAAGTATCAACGAATTGAAAATATATATTATGTTCGATTCACATATCATATGGTGCGTGACTCATGAATGAAATATATAACTATTTTGTTAGAATTGGTGTAACCTGGTACTTTTGTTTGTAGAGGGAGGCCGCTGCGGCATGAGCAAGGAGGAGATGGTGGGAGACAATGTAGGGCTCAGTGCTGGAATTGCCAGCAGTGCATTTAGGGGGAAGCCAACTGGAGCATCTTCCAGGTGCAAATATGCCATGTTCATACCCTTGTGTGCTGAATGTGAGTGGCTCATTTATGGTTGCCCACATCTTCACTTTCTCCCCAAATTCTTTGAAGCACACTTCTGCATACTCCTTGAAATCATTCCTACACCATCCCACATATATAGTTCACATTTCATTTAACTGATCTAGGCATTAGGTTAAGTTAGTTGTTCATGCACTTTTCAGTGTTCTATATTACTAAACTAAATTCGAATGACACCAAGTATTAAATGAGGAGAGCTTCTCTTAGCAAGATCTTTTCTTCTATTCACAAGACTTTGAACTTGAAACTTCAATTATCGGTTTTATCTCAGGTTGTTTTCAAATGGCCTAGCACTTTTGCATAGTCCTTAAAATCATTCTTATATGCCCCAACATATTTCACATATAATTTAATTGATCTAGGCATAGGTCAAGTTGTTCATGTACTTTTCATGTTCTTTTCAATATTCTATACTACTGAACTAGATTCGAGTCGCATCAGGCATTAAATGAGGAATGATTCTTCTTTTAATTAACAAGATTTTTCTCTTACATTCATGAGACTTGAACTCAAAACTTTAATTATTTGAAGGGTTTTAAGTCTCTTTCACTTAACTCAACTATTATCGATTTTATCTTAGGATGTTTTTACATTGCATGTGTTCGTGATGAAAGTGAAATTCAATAAATAATTAGTTCTTACACGATCTTAGGGCTTAGAAATCCACCATATTCATCTTCAAGGGATTGAGGAACATCCCAATGGAATAGAGTTGCAAGGGGCTCCAAACCTGTGTTTATAGCAATACCAAAATTAAACTAATGACACCTCATCATTAATCATACTTAGCTTGTGTTAAAATTTTCTCTTTAGTGTGTGTGAGAGAGAGAGAGAGAGAGAGACCATTTGATTTAATTTCATTGATAAGGTCATTGTAATATGCAATGCCTTCCTTGTTTACTCCTCCCTTTAGGTTTCCCCCTGACATGAATGTAACACAACTTCTGTAATTAGTTTTAATTTAATTTATCTAAAAATATAATGTTTTGATAAATATACAGAAACCGAGATTAGATAGTAATTAATAAATTTAAAATGATTACTTAAGTTCAGAATATTTCCCACCAGGTAGTATTCTGTTCCAGGAGATGGAGAATCTGTATGCGTTGAATCCTATGTCCTTCAATAACTTCACATCCTCCTGCAAAAGTGTTAATTAATTTCCTCAGTTTCTTATCATAATTGACAAATAATTAATTATATGAGATTAAGTTTTCATATTAATTAATGCAAGACAATTAATTAAGTACCTTGTAGTGGTGGTATGAATCATCAGCAATATCTCCAGTACTAGCGTTCTTTATCTTATCTGATGCAAGTCAACATGTCTTAATCTCAAAATTAATTAAATCATTATATATGCTAAGAACTTACTAATTCGTTTATATGGAAGTTTTAACTGAATTTGCAGGCAGTACATATTTATTCAAACTAAAACTCAAAGGAAATGATCTCAATTATCTCATATATATATATATTATATATATATATTTCATGATTTTATATCCTGGTTTGTTTTATGTGTTGGGTAATAGTTTACAAAAACGAAATAACAATCAACCTGGAAAAAAAATCTCTCTCTGCTGTGCTTCGATGATTTTTTGAGGAAATGAAAAAAACCATGTCCTAAAATTCTTCTAAAACAAATTATATGACAATGAAACACTCCATTTGACCATAATAAGACATTGATAATTATTTTACAGTTCTAAAGGAAATTAATTAAAACATTAATCTCTTAAAAAATTATACAGCTTTTCAATTATACCCTTAATAAACATCTTATATAAATGTTTTAAAAATTAAAATTAAAATTTTAATGCATTAATTTTTCAAAAGAGTAATAAATGAAATAGAAGTATAGTTAAAAAAATAATTATAAAAATTATTTAATACCTTATATTTTAAATTAAGTAGAACTTTTAAAAAATGTAAATGCCAATACAGCTATACTAAAGTCCAGAGGGATATTCATTAATGAATTGGCCTAGTTAATAATAATTTAATTAATAACTAATCCCGTTGCCAGTGGTGGAGCAACATGTAAGTGAGTGGAGTATGCCCCCTTACTTTGAGAAAAATATGCGTTAGGGTTATGAGCTTTTTTTTAATCTCTTATCTTGACATTTAAAACTTTAAACTCATTTGAATGTTAAATATCAATAAGTTAATTGTTCAATAATTCAAAACATAGAAATATTACAGTAAAGAATTTATAAAGTAGGTAATTTTTTTATCAATTTTTAATTATTATTATTATTTTTTCAAAATTGCCCCTTTTGATTCAAGATGCTGTCTCCACCAATATCTGCTATTGATATAAGAATTTCATTAATGAATGATTGATTTGTTAGTATTTTTATAAATATTTCTTGAACCTGGAGATATCCTTAACCCTGTAGCCTAAATTAACTTGCCTAAACTTTCTCATCATAAAAGAAAGCCAATGAGAAACACAGAAAAAGGTTTTTAATTAATTACTTGGCTGTTGAACGAAGGTGTCCCATATGCTAGGGGTTCTGCCTCCTTCCTTTGTAGCACCTTCAACCTTAATTCGCACAATAAATTAATTAATATTAATCTTCATTTCATTTAATTAATCCGTAGATGCAAACAATTATTAGGAATTAATAATGAACGAAACTGGTAAGCAGAAGTAGCAGCTCCGAATAAGAAATCCTCTGGAAAATCGCTACGTTTAACAGAAGTCTTGGATTCAACAACCGCAATAAAGAAGAAAAACAACAGAAGAAGAAGAAGAATGATCCCAGATTTCATATCTCTTAACAATTTGTTTCGTCAAAGGAAAAAAAATTAATCGATTTGTCGGATGCAAATGGAAATTTTATTTATAGTAATGTAATTATTGTTTGTGTGTTCAAGGGTTTGAGAAAAACTTGGGACTAGGAACCTACTTATCACCACATGGTCTTTTTTTTCTAAGTTTGAGTGTTTGTTTTAAAGGGAGACCGGTGTGATTTATTTAGATTTTCTTTGAATGATTTGGATTTTTTTCAATTTCTTAATTACAATTATTCTTATTTTTTATTACAATAAATTGAAAAAAGGTGGAGAGAGGTATGTGATATTCTTATTTAGATTTGCTTTAATTATTTGGATTTGGATATTCTCATTTCTTAATGTCTGAAAAGAAAACTGATACCATTGTCATAAACGGAAGCAAACCTCTGCAGACAAATGTCACGTAATAAGTTGAAATTCTTTTTTTTTGCAAGTGTCAAAAGGATTGAAGGCCCAAAAAAAACCACCAAATGGATAAACTGTTGTGGTTGTTTAATATGACATGATGATTAGCCCATGATATTCCTTTTTGTTTTTGGGCCAAAAGCCCATGACCTATATCATCAAGGGAAACTTGTAAGTAAAGACCTGCTAAAGTTTGTAATTGCAATTTAGGATCGTGTAATAGTGAAATTCAATGTAAAGATTATGGTCTTTCTTTGCAATTAAAAAAAAAAGAAAAATTAATCTGTTGATCCTTGAAGTTTTGATACAGTTAAAACTTGATCTTTTAATTATGACACGATATAACTTAATCTTTAACTTTTAACTCACATATAGCACAATTTCTAAATTTTTCATTATTTATAATATTATCCTTATCATCCATAACTCATTATGAGCTAGCAGAGTCATCCTACACAGCAAAAAATGTCAACATAACACCTGTTAAAAAAGTTTATAATATTATCCTTCTCTCTCTCCCCCCATTTAGCAATTTTTCAAGAGTGTTATATAGACATTTTTTTGCCATGTAGGATGACTTAGCTAACTCATAATGAGTTATGGATGATAAGGATAATATTATAAATGAATATATGTAAGTTAAAAGTTAGAGTACTTAATTGCATTAAGTCATAATTGAGGAACTGAATTTTAATTAAGTTAAAATTTTAAAGACTAAAATTAATTTTCTCTAAAAAAATTTGTCTCCGACTAAGATACCCTAATGTTTGGTTAGGAAATAACTGACAGACTTGAAAAAATTTTAGGTTCTAAACCTGTGATTTAGTCCAAGCATACTATTTTTCTTTTTAATTTTCATGTCGCTTCTAATGAGGACATTGGAATTGGGTGAAAATTTCTTAATACTTACCTAGAAAATAACACTAACTAGCTTGAAAAATATTTAACTTGACTTGTTAATTAGTCTCAGTGTCCCAATTTTGTAACATTGTAAGAAAAAGAAAGAAAGAAATAACATAATCTCTGAAGCATCCATTAGACTGATAAACTCATAATCATATAAAATTCAATTTTTTTTTGGGTCCTTTGACCCATGGAAACCCAAAGCAAGCTTAATTTAACATTCATGTTTGACAAACAAAAGTTAACTCAACACTAGTTTTATTTTCAGTGACAATTTATGAAAAAGACTGTGATCAAGCAATTGAGCCCTCAAGTTATTTCTCTTTTGCAGCAATTTCCTTCAGTAGTGATGAGGATCATTCCATTGATGGAGAAAAGTTTTGAACCACCAAGCTGATCGTTTATGATATCTTTTCAATCCATTCTTGAAATCCACAAAAATTAGTCCAAATCGAACAGTGTATCCATCAATCCACTCAAAATTGTCAAGCAAGGACCACATAAAGTAGCCCTTAACCTTCACCCCATTCCTACAAAATCCAAATAAATCTCCAGAACTTGTGTATGTTGAATCCTTAGATTTGGAACCTTCACAACTAAAATGCACATCTCTGCAAAAGAACTTACCTCATGGCCCTTTGGATATAGAGAAGGTGATGACTGACATAATCTATTCTAATCTTATCATCAAGTGACTTTCTACCATCATTAATTTCATCATCAACTCCTGCAAATGTTTGAAGAAATATGGATTATGAAGAAGAGAGCAAGCAATATGATTATGACATTTTTAAGATTCCATGAAGTTGAATTGGTTACCATTTTCTGTTATGTAAATGACTGGATTGTTAAATTTCTCCTTAATGTATTGTAATAGATATTGAATTCCTGGTGGATAGATGTAGAGCCATTGGGAACCAGCCTGCAATGTTACGTAGCAAAATTTCCTTTGCATCAGTAATTTGACGGAATTAATCCTTTAAGGTTAGCAAGTGAATACCAACCCAAATACTAGGCGGTTCAAAACCTAAGGTTTGGGCTAAGAAAACTAACATGCAGCTCAAGTGATGATTGTAAAGGTCGGAGGGAAATTGAGGGCGCATGTGGTCCCCACTGGGAAACCAAACATGCATTTAGACACTAAGGAGATTCGTTAGGATCAATGTGAGACTTCTTCATTGTCTGTCTGTACTTGATCCTAATAATGATTATTAATGAGTATTTCTTTAGAAGTGTTTTCAACTTTTTATCGCAGAATAGCTTTTCGTTTTAAGGAGAAATTATAATTCTTATTTCCCTCTTACGATGAAAAAAAATTTTTTCTTCTGGATTTTAAAACTGATTTTGTCTTAAATAAATACACACAAAAACTTAAAACAAAAAACGTCTTTTATGTAGTTTTTTCTTCTTTTTCACAGCTAAGTCAATAGGTTCCCCCTGTCAATCACTTGAGCATCTAAAATCAGAGAGAAGGAAGTACCTTTGGACCAATGAGAAGTCCATTTCTCTCAGCTGATGGAACAGAAGAAATGAAAAGTAAGCAAATACACATATTAAGACCAAAGAAAAATAAAAAAGCAACTGACTAGAGATTTGGACAGACTAAAAACAAAAGGTCAGCAAATGTACAAGACAAACTTGGGAAAAGTGAAGAATGAAAGTATGCATAAGATCTTGTATTTGTGTAGCTTACGGGTAGCATTTATGCAGGCATCTGTCACGAAGTTTGATTTTCTCTTGGCAAGGAGCACTGGATACATAATATGTTGTGTAATAATTCAACCCTATAAAATCAAAGGACCCTTTAACTAGCAAGGATTGCCCATTTGAAAATTTTGGCAAACGTTCGCCCACATTGCTAACCATTACTGCTGGGTAATTTCCAGAGTTCAGCGGTTCCATGAACCTTGCGAAGCATGAAAGGATCAAAGTGAGGACCTTGCTAATATAAGGCATTGTCAATATCTCAGCACGACTTTAAGACATAAGAAAAAACTATTAGGTATGAAGAACTGTTAAGAAGCTTTACTGCCAGAAATTGTGCTAGCACAGAAGTTTAAACTGATGAAGCATTTTCACATATGAGATACACTTACCAGTCATACATGAAAGCTAAGGCCCGAGATGCTGCATCTTTGTCAGCATTTGATTGGGATGTTGGAATAAACCAGAGGGAATTTAGAGCTACCCAATTTGACCCTTTGAGAAATCCATTGTATGCAAAGATCATGACAGTCAAATTTGAAACAAATACAATTTAAGTGCTTCTGAGTTCAAATAATGTTGAAAAATAATTTTTCAGAAACCTGGTACTTCTC